CCATCTTCCCCACCCTGTAAACAGAGAGACCATGAGCAGTTTTGATAGAAATGGCCACCACTGACCAGGGAATCAGGACACCTCAGGACGGTGCTAGGCTCTAATAAGCACGTTCCATCATCTTGTCCCTTAACAGAGCTGCACACAGGTACTACTGACGCCCACATTTTAGAGATGGGGGACTGAGGAATCTAGGTGAGAAGCTTACTCGTGGTCCCACAGCTAGTGAGGCCCAGATTCCAAGTCCAGAGAGCCGGACCACATTTACATTCCCTCTCCTGAGTCTGAAGAATCCCCTAACCAGGAGAGGGACATCTCCAAGATGGAGGAATGGATGAACCCCGGCATCACTCTCCTTACCAAGAATACAATTAGCAATAATTCAAGCACAAAATTTCCATTCTCGACACACGAGAATGTGGGGGAAGAAGCAGAGAGGTCCTCTGAGCCCATTGGACTAAGAAAAACCACAACTGTGAAAGGAAAGATTGCTTCAGACCGCTCCATCCCCTCCCCCAAGCTGGCATAGTGGCTGCTCATGGAGAAGTTCCCCTGAGCCCACAGAAGTGAGAAAAGCCATGTCCAGTGAGAGGAAATATCATTAACCACTCTAGTCCATCCCCCAGGCTGGTACAGTGCCACACCCGGAGAAGTTCACTGGACTGTTTCCCAAGTGACAGGAGGAAATAGGAGGTGGGTGTGTGATTTGCCCACTGGTCTAGAAATCTTCACAGGAAGCCCACCCAGGGCCTGCTCTAGAGGAAACAGCTGGAGTGCCATGCTGGCTGAGCCACCAAGGAGATCTGAGACACAATCCAGGCAGATGTTCTATGTGCCAATTAGCATGGGTGCCACACTAGAGGGGACTGGCCAGAACCACATGGCTACAGGGGGCACAATCTGCAGAAAGACCCAGCTCTGACCTGGATTTTCCATATAGCCCATGTGTGCCTGTGAAGTTTTCCCTTAACCTGGGAGTGACTAAAAGGTCAGCAATTAAACTCCAGTCCTTGCAATCAGTCCTCCCTGGACCAGGAGGCAATGGCAGGACAACAAGTTAGTTCCAGTGAAGTATTTAAGTTGTGGTGCTACTATAAATTCTCCCCAGAACAGGAAACAACTGCAGACCAGAGACAAAGTTCTAACACTAAGAAGTAAAAGTCTAACGCCACCAAAGAACACCTATGTATTAGTCCATTTCTGTTGCTTGTAACAAAATACTCGAAACTGGGTGATTTACAAAGAAAACAAAATTTATTCCTTACAATTTCAGAGCCTGGAAATCCAAAGTCCAGGGAACACATCTGGTGAAGGCTTTCTTTGGTGGTGACCTCAGTGAAGGCAGGGTATCAAATCGAGAAAATGGTGGATCAGAGAGAGCAGAGAGAGCCTGACCTCCTCATGAACTCTCAAAGTCCTCCAAACCATGTCCCTGACACCATGATTAATCCATTCACTACTGCACAGTCCTACAATCCAATCACTTCTTCAAGGCCCCACCTTTC